TCCACACATCTACACATGTAACCTTTGTAAACAGCGGTCAGGAAAGTGGTTGTATTCTGTCAGTAGCCATCAATTACAACGATCATGTATCAATTATCAGCTATCACTGTGAACTACTAATCACCCAATTTACTTGACGGCCGTCGTCAGCCGTGCTTGTGGAGTCTGTAATGCGGACTGCTCTGATCGTTGGATACAAAATGTGTGGCATCTGCAGGGGACCCTGCGGATAGCATAAACTAACGAAAAAAAAACTAAAAAATAAAATTCGATTAGTCCTTTTTTGGAAGACATTCTTGTTCTGTTCATAGACGTAGCAGCATTTGAATGTGAAATGGCCTTTGTGGGACGGGGTGACGTGGGAGTTAGTGCTATGGTCCTGGACTGTTTGCTAGCAACGAAGCCACCTTGATGGAATGAAAGGCTTGGATCTCGAAAAGATGAAAGGTGGAGTTTACCTTAAAAAGGTGCCTATTAGAATGAAGGTAGAGGTGGAAAGTGGTGCAGTGATGAAGGAAAAACCATGAGAAACTACCCAGAACCCCTTCGTTGCCCTTTGATTTCCGCGTTGATGAGACTCTCATGGCTGCTGCCATCTTCAACGCTAACGCTCTCTCTGCTGAATGGCTAGAGGCTCAGACGACGATAGGTGGGCGTGCGCGGCGCTAGCGGCGCGGGGACGGTCATGCTAGATTGCTTAGAGCATCTCCCTTGCTGTTCATGTCGGCTCGCAGCCTGTCACCCTTTAAGATCGGCCTGTTTTTCCACTAGGTAGTTTTCCCTCTCTTCAACCCCGACCTTATCGTGGAGTCTTCCTATGAGCCTATCTAACTCTTGGGCGGTGACCCTGGTATGTGACGCCTCCTCCACACCCGTGTAAACTATAATATAATAAAATCTTCAATAAAGTGAGGTACTCTGAAGATACTCTTAAGAGCATAAGTAGTTAATGTCACTAATAGTACCTTGATTGAAGGAAAACAGTATTGTGGGACAGTCACTGGGTAGCGGCAGATGGCGTCGCTACTGCGGTCATTGTATCGAACCATGAAAGATTACTAACCCAACCCCAGCAAGCCTGTTGTCTCTCTATGTTGCTAACTTGATGTGAAACTTTTCTGTGAAGATGAAAGCTTTCATTTGTATATCAGTTGGTCTCTGATGTTGTAAGTTGATGTTGAAATTTTTTGTGAGATAAAAGCTTATTTGTTAATTCAGTTGGCCCTGCAGGCACGAACGTACTCTATTAGCGTTGTCGATTTTTAAGCGAAATCCACAAGTGAACGCCAAGATAAGAATTCATTACCACAGAGGGCTTTATCATTTTGCCCTTTGTCTTAAGCTTATAGAAGCGAGTTTTTGTATAGATTGCTTAGACATGACTGTTGCAAATAATGTCGAAGGAGGTCTCACCGAAGCCCAGCAGATTCATAAAACATCCAAGTACTAGAGCGGTGAAGTTTGGTAGTACAAAGACTGGTCGATAGTACTTGAAAGACAGTGCGAGTATGAATATGGAGAATAGCCAGAACGTACCAAACGCCACGTACCTAAAGAATGGCTTTTATGAAATTGAAGTCGATGTTCTTCTTGAAAAGACTTGTGTTCAAACGCTTAGATCATTTACTATTCTTATGGCTAGTAGTGGAGGAAAAACAAGCGTACCATGCCATTACCAGCTCAAGGATGGACCTCGACCAAATGCCCGACGTCGTTTTAAGGGTATTTCCCTGAAATAGTGACAATTCTGAAGTACCTCGCCTCCCTAGGAACATAAAACCGGTACCTCTGCCAGTGCTGCTGCCAGTTCCGTGGCGTTTATAGCTCCACGGGTTTCATAAGTTTCCCACAGTCGATATCGTGCCAGAACCATACCGGTCGACGCCAGGGACAGAACCAGCAAAACAAGCTGGAAAAAATAGATGCTGTGAATGTTTTTTCCCACCGCTCAGTAAAGATAATCAGAGGACGATTAATTATTTAGTTTGGTGGTGAAACATTTCGAAAATGAACGTGAATATCTAAAATGAAATCGATACTTAGAATCTACAGAAAGCGTACATGGATTTTCAAAAGAAATTCTCCAGAAACTTTATTGGTTAATTGCCTTTTTTCCCTTTTTGCCTTTTTTGAAACCTTGGCATGTTCAGACTCGCCTAGGTAGTTCACCCATTTCTCAAGAGTTTCAGGAAATTATAACAAAACCTTGACGAGAGCCTCCAGAAATGGTCTAGAATAACGCCCCAGTTTAACTACGAAATCAGAAAGCGTGGTTCCGAAACTGAGCAGAAAAGGTGATTTGTTCATCGGCTTTCACCATAATCCATCAGTGGCTCTGATAGCAGCCTGGTGGCATTATGGCGTAAATGGAAGTGGAAAGCATGGCGCATTCCAAGCTGGAGGTTGTTCATAGTCGAATATAGTAATTTTTACTAGTAAAAACTGAAGACCCGAAAGCTACCTACCTGTAGGCTTGTCACAATGCCGGCTCCAGTAACCGCATGGCATCCACATAGGCGATCACTCATTTATGAGCGGGAAAAATAAGGCAAATCCGGGATTAGCCCGACTAGTAGGAAGGATACCGCGAGGGAAATTAAGGTCCGTACCTACCTAGATCACTCCAGCTTCGTCGCAAAAATTGCGCGGTTAGGGCGCTAATCCTTACGGGCCTGCAACCATCGACCCCGTTGCAACGCTTCCCACCCACCGCGAGAGATGGTGAGATCAGCGTGCATTGATTTTATGTTTTATGTAAGAGATCAGCGTGTTCCCTCAAACGACGTGCTCTCTCGCGTATTTTGTCTTCATTGATCGCCCTCTCCCGTCGTCGTTCGTACCTTATCCGACAATATCGAAGGTGGAGGCCTTTGATTTCAGCGTTTACGAGGAGCTCCTTGTCTTCCTATTTCAGGTCATTTCGCAGCTGAGCTACCACTACAAAGCGCTCCTAACACCAGTTCAATCACGGGATGTGCCTTTAAGTTCTCACACCATTGTCCCTATTCAAGAAAAAAATCAAGTGTATGGCACAGTCAAAGAATTCATAGATGCCGGCTAATTTATCCATTATGCTATTCAAGGGCCTATGACAAGATGGCGAGTGGACGACCACTCCTAGGCATGTTTTCTTGCCATCCATTCACGATACCATACCTGGATATCTTTCTTTTTCTCCTTGTTTTTGATTTCTTCGCTCGACTTTTGATCAGTTTTCCTGACTTCCTTCTGCGCTTAGCTTGTCCCTGGAAAAATCCCTTCAGGTAATCAACATTGAGGTTTGCGTTCACTTACTGAGAATCTTTTGGCTGGGCGTCAGCTATTGCCTTCAAGAGTCATGGCTCGGAGGACGAAGGCAAAAGATGAGAATTATCGGAAGCGTGTAAACAGCTGTTGTGGTCGACAAAATCTAAAACTGTCAAAACATTGTCTATCTTATGACAACCAATGAGGTGCGTTCATAGTTCGCGACTCCGGAGACAACATACCCGTCAATAAAAAAGATATATATTGACATGGAGATTAGGATAGTAGCAGATTCAAGTAGTTTGCCGACAAGATCAAATACGCATTGATCGATTCGATGTGTAGACGAATCTACTACTCTCGGGCGACTCCAACCGATTCGTATCTAATCTTGTTAGCGCAATATCTTATTCTACTACTATCCATATGTCCTGTCGCCTACTATCCTAATCTCCGGAACCGCGAACTATGAACGCGGTCAGAGGAACAGTCTCAAATAAACAGTGGATCCGAATCATTCATATCCTGCCATACCAGCAACGCTTCGCCGTCTCTGCACGCCCGCTACGATGTACCCTCGCCAGTCTGACTCTAGCTGTGTTGCAGAAGAGAGAGAGAGGAGACTGAGAACGTTTACGTTGAAGAAAGGAAGGTGACATGGAATGAGCGCTAAGGAGGATCCCATTTATGGCATCTGCCCATCTCTCTATTTTTCTTACCCATGTTACCATTGACCAACCTCTGACTTGATTCTAAGATGGGCTACCCTTCGGCCTTTGAACCAGAGCATATTCGAATTGCCAACTTCAAACTTAACTTCAGCTGAATCGATAACGTCCTGAACTACAGTGATTGACGACAGTGAGTGGACGGAATTTCCTATTTGGACCTCCCAAGAGAATTTTTAGTGGTCATGGTTTGCTGAAAATGCAGTGTGGGGCTACTCTGGGCTGTGATTTTTATGAGGAATGAATGATTCGGACTGATATGATACCGTAGTTCCTCACCTTACAAGTCCTAATTGTTCGAGAAAAGCCACCGGGATAATGTGGAGCTTCGTGAAACCATAAGCATAAAGCTCCGATTATATTGAATATCAGCGAAAAACTCAAGGTGACCACTACCTTGAAAACGACGACCATTAAATATGAGGTATTAAACCTTTTGGCTGCCCCTAATTTCAGCGTCAAGCCTTGATTGTGCTTAAACATTTCTCATGGGCGAGATTCTGCAAAATGCTGCCTTCGGAGCTGGTTCCACCTTCTCAAACTATTGACACAAGTAGTTTGTACGAAAACACTCGCATGAGGGGCAAGAAAACCCGTAGATACATCCACGTGGGCGCGATAGCAACCAGAAACCAATCATAATCGATTGAAAGAAGAGCTAGTTCTGAGCACGTGACACGGCCTTTAAATCCGCGCCCGGCCTCGCCCCACGGGAACAGAACTAGGTGCTAACTTAGTTGGGCGGGGACCACGCGGCGGCGCGGCGCTTGTTCGTCTGCTCCTCTAGGCTTAGGTCCAAGGGGCAGTTACTTTTCGTCGCCACGTGGCAGTTTCGGAATACGCGCCAACGGCGGAACTTTTGGCAAAAACACTTCGCTGCTCCTCCGCATTCTCCTCTAACATTCGCTTTGTCTCTGTTCCCTAAATATTGGCGTTTTGATTCGATGTTTCAATGCGTCACCTATAGGCAGCCCAAAGCGCATTTCTTTAAATAGGCCCTTTCGCCCCGCGACCGTACCGGCGACGTCCCGCAGAGCGTGATCTCGGGTTAGGTTTGTCACTCTTTCGGAGTTCTTCTTGCTGTGAACTTTGTCCTGTTCCTTTGGCGATTACAACTGACTATTGTAGGGATGCTATCTACAAGGAAGGATGGTAGGTCGAAGTGGCCGTATAAAATGAGATGTATACCACCTGATGCGTCTCTAGACGCTGATTCCAAATCTGCCTTCCAAATCTGCTAAACGGCTCTCCGAACGGAGTTATGAAGCGTAATAGCTCAGTGGTGATGGTCCGGGGTGGCAGGTAAAAGCTCGTAGGATCGGTTCCTTTGCAAGTTTGTTGCTTTGCTTTTGTCCGCAACACTTCTAGAGACAAAAGCAAAGCAACCAACTTGCAAAGGAACCGATCCTACGAGCTTTTACCTGCCACCCCGGACCATCACCACTGAGCTATTACGCTTCATAACTCCGTTCGGAGAGTCGTTTAGCAGATTTGGAAGGCAGCGTCTGGAGACGCATCAGGAGGTATACATTTCATTTCAACGGCCACTTCGACCTACCATCCTTCCCTTGTTAGTTGGGGGGGGGGCACGCGGCGGCGCGGCAGTCTGCTCACCTGGGCTCTCTCGAGCGAGACAGTGTAAACTCGAACATTCCAGCTTTTCACGCATGTCAAGTGACTGCCCCCACCCCCACCCCCCTAGACTGCCTACACTCCCCCTGGCCCACGGATTTCCGAACATGCCAGGCGAGCAGACTGCCGCGCCGCCGCGTGCCCCCCCCCCCAACTAAGTTAGCACCTTCTTTGATAAAAGAATTGGTAAAACTTTCGAAGGAAACTTTATCAGGCCAACTAAGTCGGATATTCATGAAAAGGAGGTCGAAAAGTGGAGTAATGGAACGACGAAATGCAGAAATAGGTGACGCTGTCGCGTTCGGTGATAGCGTGCTATCGAAGTCACAAACCGGCGGAGGCCCTTTCCGAATCCTCCGACTCAGACAAGCCCAGCGGTTGATACAGATCGGGTGGTGACGGCCTTCTGATTCATATGATGCCTTATCCTGATCGTTTTATTTCCATTTTGAAGTGCCTTGTTGCAAAGGTTTTCTGTTTTTTAACGCTAAGTGAACTTTGTTTTGACCATCGAAGCAGCAAGTGCTTATCGAGCGTCGTTGTCATAGCCTGTTTTGACTCCACATGAGTGACCTCTACTGAGAATGCGCTTAAAGACGTCCGCTGCCCAAAATCAGCAGGTTAGCACTCAATTTGCAGGCGGAAGTGAATTTCGAATTTTCACTTGTGCTTTTGATTTTTTCAGAAATGCACCATTTTTCACCTCGACTTTTCCCCATTTCAAATCTATCAGCTTATCGCGAGAGCTGTCTGCAAATTAGGCCTGCAGATTTGGTTGCATGCTGATCAGAACAGGGGTACCCGGCAGGAGGCCTGTCGCGCAACGAAAAGGAAGAGACGCAGACTGGTCAGCGGGAGAGTAGCAGCGCGTACTGAAGTGATTACGATGTGCTAAAGCGCGCGTCAATCTAATTAAAATGAACCATGACGTCTAAATCGCCAACAGCACGCGCTGCCGATCTTACCCCTCACATCTTTCCTTCCTTACGTCGGGACGGGACCTGCTGCCGGGACATCAAAATAGTCACGCTGTGACCGCCCAGCGGTCACAGCTGCGCGCGCGATGACTCATCAACGCTGCCTCCTGCGGGGCGTGGTCGCGTGCGATGCCGCATTCCCGCGCCATCGCAACGTGACCAATGGCCGATGTCAGACTTTGCGATGGGAGCGATTTTGCACCAGAGCGACGGATCGCTCAAGCGATGCGAGCGACGGGAGATTTACCCGAGCGGCGCGCCGTGTGTATCGGTATCGGCGGGGTAAATCTCCCGTCGCTCGCATCGCTCAAGCGATCCGTCGCTCCTGCAGTTGGTGCAAAATCGCTCCAATCGCAAAGTCTGACATCGGCCAATTAGAACTCAAATGCCGAAAAACACTGCGAAGTTTCTGACTGAAATTTCACATTGTTTAGTTTGTGGCCGAATTTGTTTTCAGTGAGATATGACGAGAACTGAAGCTCTAGGATTTTGTTCCAGTTTGGATTTTAACCAGGATTGGTGTCCCAAACGCCAGAAATGTCCACAAACTTACAACTATTGGCGGCATTCGTCGTGTAACTGCCGGGGCATCGTTTGCTATTAACGCTCCAATAGCAATTAAAAAACATGAGATATGAACAGCAATCGCGACGATTACCTGAAACGTCTTCCTTGTGCGGGTTTCACAGAACGATCTGCTCTGAGGAGGTGAAGGGATCCTGGAGAGCATGTGAACAATTTGTGTTCTCGCTGGCGTTTCTCCCCTTTGGTAGTCTTAGTCCTAGTCTAACCTACCAGTCCTGTTTTGAGTGTCCCCCCCCCCACTAAAGGACATGAGCGCCCATTTTGGTATTCTGTTTGGACTGTAGAATTAAATGCAGTAACCAGTGGAGGATTCAGCTTTCATCCTCATCGATTAGGTCTGGTACTCCAAAGGGGTAGAAG